TGTCACACACACACACACATGCTCCTGAGGGCACCAGCACATGTGTCTCACACACACACACATGCACCTGAGGGCACCAGCACATATGTGACACACACACATTATTTTTTTGTTTTTTTATTTTTTACTTTTATTTTTTTTACAGTTCCATTTTTTAATAAACAGACAAACACCCCAATCAATAAACCAACTGGAGAACTACTGGACGCCGCCAATACTGATGACACAAATATTGTACATTCATGTAAATACACAGCCTATCCTATCCTAAGCAAGTGTGGCTGATTCCCAGCCTTTGTTCACGTTAGCAAGTGTCCCCATATTGCAGTGTTGGAGCTAGGTGCTTCAAAAACAACAGCGATTCAGGAACTTCCTACACAAAGCTCATCTGTCTTAGATGCACGCACCTGAGGGCACCAGCACATACGTGACACACACACACTTAAAAGTAAGTACCAAAAAGAAAGGAAAGACTTTGATAGTGGCAGGAATCCTCCTGGCTGCTGAGACCACACTGGAAACCAAGGGTCCCTGCAGAGCCACCTGTACCTCAGATAAGGACACAGTGCACTGGGCCCCTGACCACCACACTGACACCCTGTGGAGACCTCCTTTCTCCCCTCCCCCCAACCACAGATGACTGGCAGGAAAGGCCGAGTGGTATCGAGGCCCGACGGGTCAGTGGTCTTTGAGTCCAGAGCAGAGCAGGGCCTGTCCATCGACCATGTGAACCTCAGGGAGAAACAGCGCTTCATGAGCGGAGAGAAGGTAGGGCTTGCATGGGACAGCTAGGGGCCAGGGGCAGGGGCTGCTCCCAAACAGCTCTGCGAGTGAATGGTTACTAGGGTGGGAAGGGAGTGTGCCTGAAAGCCTGTTACTTTCTCCCTGGGTACCCAGAGTTGAACGGTGAGGAAGGTGGTCCCTAGCTACCCCTGACCCATCTCATCCCCACCTCCAGCTCGTGGCTATTATCTCTGAGGCCTCCAGCTCTGGTGTCTCCCTCCAAGCTGACCGTCGTGTCCAGAACCAGCGGCGCCGGGTACACATGACCCTGGAGCTGCCTTGGAGCGCAGACCGTGCCATTCAGCAGTTTGGTGAGGCCCCCTGGCCCTGGCCCTGGTTACCCCTTCCCTGTAACCCCTTATGCCAGTCTCTTAGAACCTTTCTGCCCTCAGGCCGCACCCACAGGTCCAACCAGGTCTCAGCACCCGAGTATGTCTTCCTCATCTCTGAGCTGGCAGGGGAGCGCAGGTTCGCTTCCATTGTGGCCAAGCGGCTGGAGAGTCTGGTGAGCAGGCCAAGCCGGAGGCAAGAGTTGGGGACTGGGTCAGGTATGCTGCGGTATGCTGGAGCCTGAATCACAAATTATCCTTCGCTACCCCAACAGGGTGCCCTGACCCACGGAGATCGCAGAGCCACTGAGTCCCGAGACCTGAGCAAGTACAACTTCGAGAACAAGGTAAGTCAAGGGTAGCGGGGAGGCCGCCATGGGTGTGTGAGAAGGCCACCCCCTACCTGGGATCACTCACCTGGTCTGCCTCACAGTACGGCGCCCGTGCACTCAGCCGTGTCCTTGCTACGATCATGGGCCAGATGGACAACAGGGTGCCCCTGCCCCAGGGCTATCCAGGAGGGGATGCCGCCTTCTTTCGGGGTGAGCCAGGGCTCATGAGTGTGTCTGGGAGGTGTGGGGACTACAGCAGGGCTGATTAGGATTTGGGGACTGGGTGGGTTTCTAGGGAGAGGGCAGGGCAGAGTGCCCTGGGTGAGTGTCAGGGTTTCCTTGACAGACATGAAGCAGGGCCTGCTGTCTGTGGGCATCGGCAGCCGCGAGTCACGCTCAGGCTGCTTGGATGTGGAGAAGGGTGAGTACTGGGAAGATGATGATCCAGGGGTGGTTGGGAGGGTGATGCCAGCAGCCTGAGACCCAGCTCCACCCACAGACTGCTCCATCACCAAGTTCCTGAACCGCATCCTTGGGCTGGAGGTGCAGAAGCAGAATGCTCTGTTCCAGTACTTCTCTGACACGTTTGACCACCTCATCCAGATAGACAAGAAGGAGGGCAGATACGACATGGGCATCCTGGGTAAGCTTCCAGGGCAGGGCTGACTCTACACCCTGTGCCCGGGATCCACTGGAGCCCTGGAGGCATCTGAGGCCCATTGTATCCGTGTGGGAAGCCCATCATTGAGTGGGTATAGGCGAGGGCCAGTTGACATTCTGATAGTCTGGTCACCCGGGGAGGCTCACGCTGGACACTCACACAGTGCAGTTACAAAGATCAGCAAAAGTAATCTCAGGGCTTGGCATAGGCTGTGCTTTAGACCCTGAAGACAACTGATCATTTGTAAATGTGGTGGCACTTGCCTGTCAGCCCAGCACTCAGAGGCAAAGGAGCTCACAGTATCGAATTAAAGGATAGCCTGAGCTACCTGAGATCCTGTCTCAAAGCAAACAAAATAGAGAGGTTGGAGAAAGAACTCAGCAGTAAAGTCACTTCCGCTCTTCCAGAGGCCCTGAGTTCAATTCCCAGCAACCACATGGTGGCTCACAACCATCTGTAATGGAATCCGATGCCCTCTTCTGGCTTGCAGGTGTACATGCACATAGAACACTCCTATACATAAAATAAATAAATAAATAAATCTTAAAAAAACGAAAACCACAATCTTGGTAGCTACCTGGTACCCACCCACAGGACATCTGACCTAGGCTTTTGGTTCCTCTGCTCAGTGATGGGGTAGTCACCTCTTCCGGGTTACTCCTTCGGTGTGGCCCCTGACCTCCTACCCTCTCCTCAGACCTGGCCCCTGGCATCAACGAGATACATGAAGAAAGCCAGCAGGTGTTCCTGGCACCTGGGCACCCACAGGATGGGCAGGTGGTCTTCTACAAGGTGAGCAGGGAGCCACCCAGCTCCAGCTCTAGCTCCAGCCCCCAAACCTGCTAATGCCCCCACTTGCCACAGCAGATTAGCGTGGACCGCGGTATGAAGTGGGAAGAGGCGTTCACTAGGTCACTGGAGCTGAAAGGCCCCTATGATGGCTTCTACCTCTCCTACAAGGTGAGTGATCCCACTCCTGATGGCAGGTGTCCTGCCAGTCACCTACCCACCCAGGGATCCCAGTGGCCATCGACCTCACCATCTGGCTCCCCTATAGGTACGAGGCAGCAAGACAAGCTGCCTCCTGGCAGAACAGAATCGCGGCGAGTATTTCACCGTGTACAAGCCAAACATCGGCCGGCAGAGCCAACTGGAGACCCTGGACAGCCTGTGCCGGAAGTTCCACCGGGTAGGGAAGGACCTACCCTCTCATGGCGGCTGGGAATGCTCCGAGCCTCTTCCCCTGCTAACTTGTAGGCTTGTGTCCCCAGGTCACCGCGGAAGAGGCCCAGGAACCCTGGGAGAGCAGCTATGCCCTGTCGCTGGAGCACTGCAGCCACACCACCTGGTGAGGCCCCAGGCGGGAAGCCACAAGGAGGGCGGAGCTGGGCGCCCAGTGTCCCAGGGCCTTGTGGGCTGGGAAGGCGCACGCTGCGAGAGCTGACCAGCGGTCCCCTCGTACAGGAACCAGCGCTGCCGACTGGCACAGGAGGGCAAATGCTGCGCCCAGGGCCTGCGCCTCCGCCACCACTACATGCTGTGCGGGGCGCTGCTGCGCGTGTGGGGCCGCATCGCCGCTGTCATGGCGGATGTCAGCAGCAGCAGCTACCTACAGATCGTGCGCCTCAAGACCAAGGACAAGAAGAAGCAAGTGGGTGAGTGGGGCAGCGGCTGTGGGGCCCCTAGAGAACGGGTTCCCAAGTATGGTCTGACTGCGTGTCCGTGCCGCCACAGGCATCAAGATCCCTGAGGGCTGCGTTCACCGCGTCCTGCAGGAACTGCAGCTGATAGATGCGGAAGTGAGGCGCCGCAGCACCCATGGGTTGGCTGTGCGCCCGCCCACTCCACGCGCGATTACGCTTCCTTGCGGTCCTGGTGAGGTGCTGGACTTGACCTACAGTCCCCCAGCTGAGGCTTTCCCAGAGCCTCCACGCTTTGCCTTCCCTTCGCTGCCGCCCCCAGACCCCAGCTCTCTGATGTTGGGTGCTAGAGACCCTGCTACCAACCCTGTGGAGCTGGCACACCAGAGCTGCGACATCAATTTCAGGGAAGTGTTGGAGGACATGCTCCGCTCTTTGCGCGCGGGGCCCACTGAAACCCCTGCACCTTTGGTGGGCGTGGGTGGGGGGGGCACAGAGCGACAGAGCGTCATCCACTTCAGCCCACCCTTCCCAAACTCTTAGGCTGTAACTTCGGCCTCTGGACAACTGTACTGGGCAGCCAGGCCTATGGGCTCCTCTGCAAGCAGAGGCTCCACTACTGAGGGTGCCTGGCGGGCCGCAGTGCCTTCCCAGCTGGTGGGGTGTGGGCCTGTGTGTCTCCCCTGCTACAGCCGCGCAGCCTAAAAGCCATGGGGCTTGGTAGTCCCAGAGAGCTGGCAACTCAGGAAATCGGTGCTCGGGCCCCGCTGGCTATGGGGGGCTCCACGGGGCAGACCCCGTTAATATATGCAATCCCCTGCTCCCTAAATTATTGTCACCTGCCCCTCCCCAGCTCCGGAGTCTCCGGGCAGCCGGCAGGAATTGTCACCTGCCCCTCCCCAGCTCCGGAGTCTCTGGGCAGCCGGCAGGAATTGTCACCTGCCTGTCCCCAGCTCCGGAGTCTCTGGGCAGCCGGCAGGCCCTGGTTTCTATGTATTTATAATGAGCTTGTGTACATATGTAAAGATCTTTTTAAATATATGTGCCTTTTGCTTACTTCCTAGTGTGCTATGGCCTACAGGTCAGTGGAGGGGGACCTGAGGTTCATAGAGCTGTGGCTGCCACCCACTTGAGTTTCGTGTCCCAGGTTGGCTGGTAGGGACAAGCTGGGGAGATGGAATTCATCCCAGACCAGTGGCAGCTGCAGTCCCAGCTGGGGCTGAGGGTCCTGGGTCCCAGGCCTTGAAGAAGGGTTGGGGAGAGGCAGGCCACCTCTGTGTTACAGTCCTAGGGTCAACTTCAGCCTGGAAGCACAAAGCTCACAATCCCATGGGAGGGCAGGGGACAGGCAGACTCAGTGACACTGCCCTACCTGCCTGAGGCCCCAGCTCAACCCGCCGTAGGCAGTCACCCCACAATCCCCATAGAGAACATGGGACAACACACACACACACAGTAGACATGACCCTGAGGCAACCCTGACCCAATGTCCCAGACCTCAGGCCTCCTAACAGGTTACCACCCTCCTAAACAGCCCTGCCTACATCCTGGTCCTTCCAGCTGGCCTGGGCAGAGCCTCAGGGGATCAGCAGGGACCTGTGAGCAGCTGACCCGGAGCACAGGCACTGCCTTCTGATCCCGGCATGCTCAGCTCCGGACCCAAGGACACACGCGAAGCACATTTCTACATTTTATTCCCACAAGGCAGCCGAGGTGAAGCTCGAGCCCGGGGCCGCAGGCCTCTGGACCTTCCTCCGGCGGGAATGCACGCCAGGTCCTCAGGACTGCCCCACCAGCGGGCTGGTTTTCAGGCAGACCATCATAAGTGCCGGGGTGGAAGGCTCCAGGGGTCACAGGGCAGGGGGGCTCGGTGTGGGGGCACACACTTGTAGGGCTAGAGATAGCACGGCAGGTCCTTCTCTATCACCTGGAGGAAGACAACTCGTTCAGACTTGCCCCTCAGCAACTGCACACAGCCCTGGCCCTGGCTGCTTCGACAACGGTGCTTACCTGGGGCTCCTCCATGGGGCCATAGCGCTTCACCACGCAGCCGTTCTTATCAATGAGAAACTGGAAGACAGAAGAGCATGTTGACAGGGCACAGGGAGCTGGACCACACCCCCACACTCTACTTACCTTGGTAAAGTTCCATTTGATGGCACTGTGGGGGGGGGAGGGGAAAAAAGGATTTAGAAGTGGTACCTGCCAGGGCACCGTGGTTACCTGCCAGGGCATCTTTAATCCTAGCATTTAGAAAACAGAGGCAAGAGCCGGGCGGTGGTGGCGCACGCCTTTAATCCCAGCACTTGGGAGGCAGAGGCAGGTGGATTTCTGAGTTCGAGAGTTCGAGGCTAGCCTGGTCTACAGAGTGAGTTCCAGGACAGCCAGGGCTACACAGAGAAACCCTGTCTCGAAAAAAACCAAAAAAAAAAAAAAAGAAAACAGAGGCAAGTGGATATGAGTTCTAAGGTAGTCGACATAGTCGGTTCCAGGCCAGCCAAGGATACATGGTGAGACCCTGCCTCAAACTGGGGCGGGATGGGGTTCACTCAGTGGTTAGAAGAATGTACTGTTCTGGAGAAGGAGGCTGCACTGCTAGCACCCACATCACTCCATTCCAGGGAGTCAGACTGTCTTCTGGCCTCTGAGGGCTTCAGGTATGCATGTACTAGGTAGACTTGCATGCAGACAAAACCCATACACAAAATAAAATAACAGGCTGACAACTGTGAGCACTGGCCGCTCAGACAGAGCACTCAAGCTCAGCCCCCAGTCCCCACTAGGTGATGACCAACACCAACCCCAGCTTCACGACATTTCATGCCCACTTCTGGCCTCTACGTGGTACACATAAATACACTCAGGCAAAACACCCGTACACATAAAATACAAATAAGCTCATCTCTGCGGCTTGGCCAGGTGGTGCACGCTTTAGCCCCAGCACCTCACTATGAGTTCTGGGCCAGCTAGAGCTACACGCGGAGACAACCCAGCTCAAAACGAACTAAAACGTTGGCACCGGCTCCCTGCCCTGGTCCAGAGCCATCTGCCCCCTCCCTCCCCAGGGCCACTCACTTTCCCAGCATGCCCCTGCCCTTGGGCTGGACTTTCATCCATTTCCACAGCGGGTGGGCATCATCCCCATTTACACAGATCTTGCTGTACATGTCAAACTTGACATTGTAGCCGGCTGCAAACTCCTTGATTTCTTGATTACTTCCTGGCTCCTGAAGGCAGCAACAGATTTAGTTGGAAGGTGCACTACACGGCACACAGACACACACTGACACAGCCCTCTCAGGGGCGGGGGCATTGCCTGGGAACAGCCACGCACCTGCCTCCCGAACTGGTTGCAGGGGAAGGCCAGGATTCGTAAACCACACTCAGCATATCGGGCATGCAGATCGACTAGCTGAGTGTAGTTTACGTCGGTTTTGCCTCATTGCGAGGCCACGTTGGTGACGATGCACACGAAACCCCTGGGGAGGAAAGGGTGGGAATGAGACCACAGTCAGGACAGTCCCATTTTCAGACCAGCCACGCACCGCCCACATGACCAGAAACTCACCTGTACTTATCCAGGCAAACCATGTGCCCGTCGATGTCCTTGGCTGAGAATTCGTGCATGGAGCGCGCACAGCGCCAGTCATCGCGGGATGCACACTGTAAAACAGGGAAACTGAGTGTCCTACCCCAGGTCTCCCAGGGGAGGAAAATCCGGCGCCAAGGAAAAGAAAGTCCTGGGGCACTGGGTGGAGGAGCTCGCCTCCTTCCAATAAGTACGCCCCTTTCAGATTGTCCTGAAAAGATCTGTGGACACCCCTAGAATATGCTACCAGGGAAGAGGACGGCAGGGGTATCCCTGGCCGCACACCAAGCCCAGGAGCTCGGAGCTGTTGCTGCACTGGGGAGGCTCCTGCAGCAGAGGCCCGGGGTGGAAAGGCACGGGAATGGGCTCCATCCGGCGAGGGCGCGCCCTCCTGCGGCGGCGGGCGCGAGCTCTCCTCCTCCGAGGGCCGGGGCGCTTCCTAGGACTTTGGCGTCCAGGTTCATGGCGTCGCCGGCCTCCGGAGGACCCGCCGCGCTGTCTGCAGCGTTCCCGCTTGCGGGCGGCCGCGCGGCCCATGCCCGCCCGTCTGTGCGTCCCAAGCACAGCGCGGGGACAAAGAGCCGGTAGCCAAGGCGCCGCCGACTGTGACGCACCAGGCCAGGCGGGGCGCGTGACCAGGTCAGAGCCCGCTATGGTGACCCCGACACCGGTTCCCACCTCCCAGGGACCTCCCTTGCCGAGGCCTGGCCTTGTTCAGCCCCGGGGATGCCTATCGGACTCCGCTTTCCCACCTGGGTGCCCCCTACTCTAGCTAACCGATCCCACGGCCCCCGACCTCCACCCTGGATACGGTGACCCGACTCCGAACCCTGCCCCACCCGCGATTCCCCAGGTCCCCAGTAGCCCACCATTGTGCCTGCCAGACCAGGCGCAGCCAGAGCCCCGCACAGCAGTGCCGGCTTCAGTAAGCGGCTCAGACGGCCCCAGCTCATCTCGGCGGCCGGAGCCAGCGGCTCCTCCCCTCACGCAGCCGACCAATGGACGCGCGAGGCCGAGTCTGGCTTGCCCGCCCTCGGCCACGCCCACTGACGTCTCTTATTGGTCGGATGCGCCTGCGCTGAAGACGCGAGGCCCCTGCAGCCAATGGGAAGCCTGAATGAAGGGCGGCTTGGGCGGGGCTGGGCTTACGAATTTGTTGTTGTCAGTAACTGCGCATGCTCAGTGATAGGGACGACAAAGAAACGGGAGCAGCGTCCACGCGACTACGCGTTGGAGGGCTGCGGACAGTTATCCGCGAGGTTGCCTGCAGCGGAGCGGGGTGCCAGGGCGCTTTGGGGAACCCCTGGGAATAGACAGCGTGGCAGCAGCCCTAAACAGCCCCTTTGAGTACAGGAGTCTCCTTTTTCTACTGGAAGCAGAATCTCAAGTAGCCCAGGCTAGTCTTGAACAGTTTATGTAGCAGAGGATGACCTTGAACCCCTGGACCTCCAGCTTCAGCTTCCTCCTGAGTGCTGGAGTCGCAGGTGTCCGCTAATCCCCACCAATCTTTTTAGAGCTTGTCTCATCTAGCTCAGGCTAGCCTAAACTATTGTGAAGCTGGGACAACTTTGAACTCTTGATCCTCCTGCCTCCACCTCCTAAGAGTTGGAATGGCAAAAGTGCATATAGGGATGGAACCCAGAACCTGGAGCATGGGAGCGAACCCCAGATCAAGGTCATCCTCTGCTACATAACTGTTCAAAGATAGCCTGGACTACATGAGATTCTGTTTCCAGTAGCTTTCCCCCCTAATTTTACAGTTCAGCTCTGCTTAGAACTCACAGCAATCCTCCTGCCTTAGACTCTTGGGTTCTAGGATGATGGGTAGATGATCCCGTCCCTTGTAGATACTGATTGATGTGAAGATGACTTGAGGGGCGTGGTAAGGAGCTTGGGGGCGTGGTAAGGGGCTTGGGGGCGTGGTAAGGGGCTTGGGGGCGTGGTAAGGGGCTTGGTGAGAACGCCGCTGCCACACAAACACAGGGCTATATCCAGACCGCAGCACCCACGCAGACTGGTGCACAGGGATGCTTTTGTTACTCCAGAACCTGGGATTCCGAGCCGGGAGGATCCCTGAGGCTAGGCCGGGTCAGCCAAATGCTTGTGGTCAGCTAGAGAACCTGCCTCAAAACCAAGATAAGGATAGGTCTGGTGGCCACACTCTTAGCCCCAGCCCTTGCAGGCTAAGAGGGCAGCCTGGTCTAGTAAGCAAGTTCCAGGTCAGCCAGGGCTACCCAGTGAACCCTGTATCAGAAATACAAGGTGGGAAGGGACACAGTTACTATGTGCCCTCAGAGGTCCCTGCCCACATAAAAGGAGCCACAGGTCTTGAGGTCCTATGTGAGCGACTAAAGCAGCTCCTCCCCGCAACGTGACCTGTGGCCTTGTCCAGGCCCCACACCTCCCAGCCCAGCACTAAGGGCCCTTTCCCCTCCCTGTGTCACACAGTGACTCAGGAAATTCCTCAGCCGTCCAACACGCCCACCCCTGGACTCTAATCTCTTAAATCCTCAAGTTTTCTGACCCCTGGAGTAGACCATCTGCCGAGACAGTTACATCAGGAGCTCTCCCAAAGGTCTGGGTCCAAGGGCGCTTAGGAGGCCTTCTGATCCAGTCCCAGAGGCGCCATGGGCAGACCCCAGAAAGTTAAGATGACCAGTGATCTTGGTTGTCAAGATACATTCTTGCACAATCCTGTTCGGTATGTTCTCAATGGCCCCAAGGGCCCCTCCCATCTTAGGAAGTCAGCTGTTTCCTCCCAGCCCCCAGACTGGGGTGACACTAAGGGACACTGAGGGCCTCTAAGGGACTTGCAAGTGCGCTTTAGCTTAAACTGTAAATACCAGTGCCCAAATTCTTAGAGCCACACCCTCACAGGGCATCTCAAAGGCCCCTGCTTCTTGACAAGTGTAAACTGCAATAAAAGCAAGACTGGAAAGGGGACCTGGGGCTGGGGCAGAAGGCGGCCGCTCAGAGGAACCTAGCCCCAAGCTCTGGGAGGGACTTGCATTTGGAGTGCCTGCCTCTCCCAAGTGACCCCAACTTCACCCTAATTTAACCAGCTGGAAAATGAAAATCTGGGCCACCGCAAGGAGCCACTTGGTGGCTCCTGAGAAGCTACCAAAACAGAGCCTGGCTTTTGCCTCTTTGCTATTTTGGAGACGGGGTCTCATTGTAGCCCAGGCTGGCCTGGAACTCACTTTGTAGCCAAGGATAACCTTGAACTCCTGATCTCCTGCCTTAACCTCCTGAGTGCTGGGATGACAGGTTTGTTTGGTTTTGTATGCCTGTTTGTGGGGTGCAGACCCCAGGTTTTACACATACCAAGCAAGCCCTTGAGCCCCAGCCTGTCTCTGATTTCCTCTGTTTTCTGAGACCAGGTCTCTCCCCTTCCCTAGGCTGGCTTCATCTCCTTGGAGCTTCCCGCCTCATGTTTTCCAAGCGCTGCAAAGACAGAGAGGCTCAGCCACTAACAAGGGGCCCTGCGAATAAGAAGTTGACATCACGACCTCTAAAAGGATTTAGAAAAGATTAAGTTATGCAAAGTAGAATTTAGCTGAGCAGCCTAGGAAGGGACCTTAGGGGAGAACTCTAGCACAGAGAATAGCCTTCAGGTTTGTTACTAAGATTTAGCTGAGCAGCCTAGGAAGGGACCTTAGGGGAGAACTCTAGCACAGAGAATAGCCTTCAGGTTTGTTATTAAGATTTAGCTGAGCAGCCTAGGGAGGGACCTTAGGGGAGAACTCTAGCACAGAGAACAGCCTTCAGGTTTGTTACTAAGATTTAGCTGAGCAGCCTAGGGAGGGACCTTAGGGGAGAACTCTAGCACAGAGAACAGCCTTCAGGTTTGTTACTAAGGTTAGCCAGTTAAGCCTCATTCCCATAACAAAAGGAGACCGGGCCAGGCTGACAACTGGCCTTTAACCCAGTCCCCATATCAAAGCCCTGTGGTTCAAAGGCGGCCTAAGGAGTCTGGCATCCTGTCCATCCAGTTTTTCCTTCACGCCACTCTCTGGAAGGGCCAGACTCTGTCAGGCAATAGGCCCCTAGGCTGTGTGCAGAAGACTGAAATTATAAACCGTAAATCTCCTCCTTTGTCCAGACAGCCTTGTGGTTTTTGCCTCTAGCAAACATGTTTAACTGATCAAAGTTGGGGCCATCAACTACATAAGCTAAGGCAACCTTGGGTCAAGACCCCCTAGGGGACCCTTTCACAGAGGTCCTTCCTTATCAGATCATCTGCACACCAGATACAATTCATAACAGTCACAAAACTACAGTTATGAAGTAGCGATGAAAATAATTTTACGGGCCGGGCGGTGGTGGTGCACGCCTTTAATCCCAGCACTTGGGAGGCAGAGGCAGGTGGATTTCTGAGTTCGAGAGTTCAAGGCTAGCCTGATCTACAGAGTGAGTTCCAGGACAGCCAGGGCTACACAGAGAAACCCTGTCTCGAAAAACCAAAAAAATAATAATTTTACGGTTGGGGTGTCACCACAACATAAGGTACTGAATTAAAGGGTTGTAGCATTAGGGAGATTGAGAACCGCTGAGCTAAGAGGATTATTGTTGCTGGTTGTACCCTTTGTGCCTTGCCTAGAACCAGCCAGGTACTCGGGAATTTCCCTTCAGTGATCTATGTTGGAGCGATTTCTCACTGTGCAAGTGTCACAAGCCAAACCCACCCAAGGCTCTCTTGGACCACAACTGAAGGACAAAGGGAACTCGAGTTGTTTTCTTTTTTTTGTTTTTTTCTTTTTTTTTGGTTTTTCAAGACAGGGTTTCTCTGTGTAGTTCTGGCTGTCCTGGAACTCACTTGGTAGACCAGGCTGGCCTCGAACTCAGAAATCCGCCTGCCTCTGCCTCCCAAGTGCTGGGATTAAAGGCGTGCGCCACCACCGCCCGGCTTTTGGTTTTTTCGAGACAAGGTTTTTCTGTGTAGCCCTGGCTGTCCTGGAACTCACTCTGTAGACCAGGCTGGCCTCGATCTCAGAAATCCACTTGCCTCTGCCTCTCTGCCTCCCAAGTGCTGGGATTAAAGGCGTGCGCCACCACTGCCCGGCTAACTCCTTTCCCTTTAACCATTTGTGTTACTGATTTACATTTGCTTGTGTATGGGTGTTGTGTCTGCATATATGTGTGCATACTGTGTGTGCCTAGAGTTTAAAGAGGTCAGAAGAAGACATGGATCCCTGGAACTGGAGTTCTGGATGTTTGTGAGCCACCCTGTAGGTGCTGGGAATTGAACCTGGGTCTTGTCCAAGAGCAAAATGTGTTCTGACCAGACTCATCTCTCCAGCACGCATGCTTGCTTCTTTCCTTTTGTTTTCTTTCTTTCTTCTTTGTGACAGTCTCACTGTGCAGACCATACTGACTTCTTTCCTCCAGTACTGGGTGTAGAGAGAATTCTGGAATTTTGGTTTCTTTAAAACAAATACAAAACAACCAGAAATGTTACAAGAATGTGTTTTCATGTTAACCCCAGGTGTGGGATGTGGGGCTACTTCAGGCTGTCCACAGCAGCTGACTGTGATTTG